GTTTTGCAAACATATTAATTTTTTTCCTCAATGCCATAAAAGACAGTCTGGTTTTTTAAAATAAAAAACAAGATGGATACAGCTGATTTGAGGCAAAGATGACCTGTCAGATGTGTGAAATGCCAAGTTTCTTTGCATTAGGGCTACATCTTGGTGGAGAGGGCTCGCTTCCCTGCCTCACGACAGTGAATCTGCTAGCAGTGGGGAGGGAGTTCTCCTGGGGCATCTTTCACAATGGCGGGTGCAGGGGCAGCACAGAAGGGCTGGGAGGGGAACAGGTGTTCTCATGGGCCAGGCTGTGCACTGAGTCATGCTCACCTGTGTGTGAAAGGTGAGTATGTGTGTTGTTCCTCTCCCATGTGTATGTCTGTATTCAAGTAGCACTTCAAGGGTGGCATCTTTCAGGGGTGTTCTAAGAGTCTATGTTACATGTCATTAACTCCTTAGAGACTGGAAATGAGCCCAAAGTCCTCTTGTGTTCTGAGCCCTGCGTTCCTGGCACTAGAACTTAGCTCTGAGCCATTTTGAGGCAGGGATCAGGAGAGTCTTGGGAGCTGAGAAGGTGTTCCTTCCTGTTTCTCCCAGTGCCAGTTAATCTTTCACTCATTCGAGAATACCTATAAGAACACCTATTACGGGCTGGGCTGAGGATACGGTTCTGCTCTAGGGATACAGTGACCTGGTCCCTGTCCTCGAGCCAGCTCAGGTCTAGCATGTCAGTTTTCTCTGCATAATAAACCACCCCCCAAAATGTAATGGCATAAACAACACTCATTTATTTGGGTACAAGCTGTCTGGGCTGGGCTTACCTGGCTCGTTCTTCTTCTTCTGCCTTTGACCAGGCTCACTCACGTGCATGTGGTCCGCCCCCAGGTTGATGGAGCTGATTGGTTTATGATATCTTCAGTTGGAACAGTTGCCTCTCCTCCACATGGCCTCTTATCCTCAGTAGGCTGTCCTAGGCTCGCTCGCATGGCAGCTGGCAGGATGCAGAGAAAGAAAGAGTGAGCATATGAGACTTTGACTTTATTCTGTGGGTCAAAGCAAGTGACAAGCCAGTCCCAATTTGAGAGCAGGAAAAAGAAACACCACTTCTTAAAGGGAAGAGTTGCACAGTCACATTGCAAAAGGACTCGATGCAGGAAAGAGTGGAGAATTGTGGCCATTCTTGTGATCACCCTACCACAGTCCATCAGCACACACATATTCAAGCAAACAGTATTACCACATTAAGGTCAGAGAGTAAGTCATGGCCTTCTTAAATGACCAGCTGGATTCAGTATGACTTGGTGCTTATTTTAGAGAAAAGTTGTGTTGTAGTGGGCTTTATTTCATTTTGTTGTGTTTTTAAGAAAAGACGGTACTTAAGTGCCCAAACTAGTCTTTATTCAGCAGGATGGGTGAGAATTTGTGCATACAAACACATTGTGACTCAAGCTGGTAGGTCTCAGGACCATGGAATTCCGTCTGTATGCTCCACAAGGGCTGGGACTGCTTGTCCTGTTTATCAGTGACCCAGAGCCCTCGCAGTGTCAGACGGAGAGTGGGCACTTGAGGAGGTTTGCTGAATGTTGGAATAGGTGACGGCAGTACTTGGAACAGCAGTGCTGTGGAGAATGAGGCATGACATAGCAATGAGTGTGTAGGGGGCCACCCACCCAAACCCTGGGGGCCTGTGCTGGAATTCTGTGATGTTCCTAAGCATGGCTCCACCATCAGTGTGGCTTTTGTCTGGGGACTGTGAACAGGACATCATGGGCTGGAAGGGTCCCCTGAAGTAATTACTAGGCCATTCCTTCCTTCCTCCCTTCTTTCCTTCCTGATTTTATTTTCGAGTAATCTCTACACCCAACGTGGGGCTCAAACTCACAACCCTGAGATCAAGGGCTGTGTGGCCTAACAACTGAGCCAGCCAGGAGCCCCTCGGCTATCTTTTTCTAAGCATAAAACATGACATGAATTTTACATTTTTCAGAGATGTTTGTTTGCTATCTGCTGTTTTTACATTTTTGACTGAAGACACAAATAAAGTGCATGGGCTTAAATTTTAGGAGATCAGAAAGGACTTTTAAATTTATTTATAACTCGCATTCAGGAAGCAAAATATTGAGTCTTGTAAGAAATAAGCCAAATGCCCACTAATCCAGTTTCAGACCCCAGGAATGTACCACATGACACCTCAGCACTTTATCTAGACCTTGGTTTTGAAGCTCTTTGCATTTGTGCTTTCCAAGTTGCAGAGTGAAGTGGAGAAAGACTACTAAGATCTTATTTCTTCCCATAGAACACTTCTCACACCAACAACCAATTCTCCAAGTCTCTGGACACCAGCTGGGTGTCCTACAATGTAATTCAATGCTAACATCAACTGCTCAGAGTTAGTGAGCCCCACAGGTTAGGGGCTCCATCCCACAAGACTGATCCCACTCCAGACACCAATCCTCCATTCTGAGCCTCCTGTATTTCTGACCAAAAAGTTATAAATTGAGGATTCTCATGCCCATCCTCTAAGCTGTAGTGCTTTGCTAGAAAGGCTCACAGAACTTAGGAAAGCCCTTTACTCACATTTACCAATTATTATAGAGGATATTATAAAGAATACAGATGAATAACCGGAGGTAGAGATCTGGGATCTGGAAGGATCCCGAGTACAGGAGCTTCTGTCCCCGTGAAATTGCGGTGAGCTACTCTTCCAGGACGTGGATACATTCACCAGCCTAGAAGCTCTTTGCACCCAGTAGTTTAGGGGTTTTATGGAGGTTTCATTATTTAGGCACAATTGATTCAATAGGGGCCATTGATGATGGACTCTACCTATAGCCCACTTCCCCCTCCTCAGAGGTCAGAGGCTGGGCCCTCAATTTCCCACCCTCTGATTGGTTGGTTCCTCTGGCAACCAGCCACCATCCAGATGTCTTCTAAGGGTGACTTCATTAACATAAAATCAGGTAAGGCTGAAAGGAGCTTCTTATGAATAAAAAAAGATGTGATCTCACCCCTGTTGCTTAGGAAATTCCAAGGGTTTTAGGAGCTGCCAGGAACCTACCAGGAACCAGGGACAAAGACTAAACATATACTTCTTACTATATTGCAATGTCATAGGGAGTCTTTCTGTTTTAATAACTATGACTTCCAGTAGGACTTGACTTTCAAAGATCACTGAGAATAGGGAAAGCCTAGTGGGCTGCTCTCTTCCGAGGACACAGCTCCTTGAGCCTTCCTGACCTGCTGTCCTAATATTCTGGTCCCCTATTATGGGGTCTTTTGTTCATTCTTACTTGGCTGGATTTAAAATATTTCACAGCATAATCTCACGAAGTCTTACAAAGAGCAAATCATGTTTTAAAAGATATGTTTTTACCTAACATACAAACAAAATCATGAGGGAACAAATGAATTAATTATCAGAAAAGAAACACTACACAGATCAAGTAGAATGTTGCCAGGATCCCCAAAGCCCTGCGTGTCCCCAGACTTAGTCTTTACCCCTTCTCTCCATCCACCAACCTGACTTTTAACGTCATAGATTAGCTTTGACTATTTTTGCACTATTTTGCACTTTATGTAAATAGAATCACCAAAGTGTGTTCTTTTGTGCCTGGCTTCTTTTCCCCACATTTTGACTGTGAGATTCATCTATGTCCTTGTCAGAAGTAATGGTCGGTTCATTTTCATTGATGTACAGGTTTTCCTTGTACAAATATGTTATGATTTATATCAGTTTTGCAGTTTATAGACATCTGAATCGTTTCCAGGTTTGGGTTATTAGGAACATTCATGTCCATGTCCTTTGATGCCCAAACACTAGATATCATCAGTTAACACCAGATATTGTCAGTCTGCTTACTTTTAGCCGTTGTGGTGCTATGGAATTGCATACTTTTATGGCTGTTAGCATATCTCTATTACTAATAAGGTTGGACATCTGTACACGTTTAATGACTACTTAAGTGTCTTTTTTGTTATGCGTCAATTCAAGTATCTTGCCAGATATGGCTTATCTGCCTACTTAGTATTGACTTGTAGGAGGAGTTCTTTATGAATTCTGGATAGGAATCCCTTGAAGATTGTATGTGTCACAAATATCTTCAAGTTTGTGGCTTGCATTTGAACTTTTTTCATGAGTTCACAAGTTCCTAAAGTTAACATAATCCAATTATCTATCCTTGGGCCAATACTATGGTCTTATTTATTTATTTATTTATTTATTTAAGATTTTTATTTATTTATTTGAGAGAGAGCCAGTGAGAGAAAGCATGAGAGGGGAGAAGGTCAGAGGGAGAAGCAGACTCCCTGGGGAGCTGGGAGCCCAATGCAGGACTGGATTCCGGGACTCTGGGATCATGACCTGAGCCGAAGGCAGTTGCTTAACCAACTGAGCCACCCAAGCACCCCAATATCATGGTCTTAAAAAGTATTCCAGTTTTAGAGTAAATCTTGAAATTTTGTAGATTTCAAGAGATCGTCTTGGTTCTTTGCATTATCATAAGTTTTAGTATCAGCTTGTCAATGCCTGAGATTTTTATTATGGTTGTATTAAGTCTGGAGAGATCAATTTGGATGGAGTTGACAGTTTAACAATTTTATATCCCTTCATTTAATGAGGTCTTTAATTTTGGTTGGCAATATTCCATACACTCTGCATTCAAATCTTGCACATCTTTTGTTAGCTTTATTCCTTGGTGTTTGTTTTTTCTAATGCTATGGCAAATGGTGTTTTTTTAAATATTTGTTGCTGTATATTGCTGGTATACAGAAATACAGTTGGTATTTTCATTGACAATAAACCCCATGTCCTTGATAAACCCATGTATCAATTGCAACAGTCTATAGGTAGAGTCTTTGGTGGGTTTGTTTGTGATACACAGTCATAGCATCTGTGAATGACAGCTTTATTTCATCTGTTCTAGTCCTTATCCTTTTTATTTCCTTTTCTTGTGTTCTACTCTCCTGGCTCTGTAACCTTGGACCTAATGAAGTTTTTCCTTCTCCCCTTCCAGATGTGGCTGAGGCACATATTGACTATGAGGATAATTTCCCAGATGACAGATCCATGTCCTTTAGAGAGCTCATGGAGGACTCCCGGACAGAGGCAGAAGAAGACAGAGGTCCGGGAGAGGCCCCTGAGGAGATTTCAAAACAGGACCATCTGGTCTCCATTTCTGTGGGGAGAGAAAACATATCCCAGGATACAGCCTCTGTGCCAACTACAGGCTTGTCCATCGCGGGAAGCAGTGTCCCCACAGACTCTCCAGGACCCCAGCTAAACCAGAAGTACTTGTTCTGGTTTCCTGCTGAGAATTTCCACAAGCCTGGGCTGCAGAAGGAGATGAATGATGGCTCCAAAAAGCAGTTTCTGGCTAGAGACAACCGTAGTAGCCTAACAGCAGCTCCGGGTGAACCTGAAGCCAAGGTGATCTATAGCAGCACTCATGGTCCCTCGGGGCCATTTCTGGGCAGGACTGACAGCAAGACTGGGGACCCAATGGTGAGCAGCAGTGATGAGTCCTGGTTAGATGGTTACCCTGTGACGGATGGGGCTTGGAGGAAGATAGAGGCAGAAGAGGAGGAAGAGGAGGAAGATGGGGACAAGGGAGATGCGTCAGTAGGGCTGGAAGAAAGAGTTCCAGTTACTCCTAATCAGCTCATTCCTGTCGAAGTTAAGAACCCCAGGAGTACCTCCTTCACACCAAGTGAGGACGTGACCCGTAGTTCAGTTCTTCCATCTCAAACACTAGATGTAGAAGCTTTGGCTCTCAGACCCGGAAATGTGTCTGAAACTGAGAGTCCCAGCACGGGAGATGGTGACTTGATCAGGTACCAGTCAACTGTTCCTTGGAGCTTTGCCACAGAGATGTCTCCCATGGCCACACTACCCTATGAACTCCCCAGCTCTACTCTGGGGACAGTGACAACTGCTGTCCAACAGATGCCGAATCACAGTCCCTCAACTATCATGGCAGCCAGCCAGACTCCAGGGGAAACCATTGCTCCTGAGGTCCAGGATAGTTTCCCATACCTGCTATCTGAGGACTTCTTGGGACAGGAAAGCCCCGGCCCAGGTGCAAGCGAGGAGCTTCTTCCAACTGTGGAATCGTGTGTAGGGGATGGGTGTCCCAGCCTCAGCAGGGGCCCTGTCATTGCCACCATTGTCACCGTCCTATGTCTGCTGCTGCTCCTGGCAGGGGTGGGGGCCGTGTGGGGCCACCGTAAGTGCCAACACAAGAGCTCCGTGTACAAGCTGAACGTTGGCCAGCGACAAGCTCGGCACTACCACCAGCAGATTGAGATGGAGAAGGTCTAGCCACCTTCAGAGCAGGCTCTCCCAAAGCCACTTAGGAGGAAAGGGAACTGTGCCACGTCTCACTGATAAAGACTGATTCTTCACTAGAGCATGAAACTGGTGGGTTAGGACTCATCTCTTTTTTCTTCAGGTCCTTGTTCTGAAGGCCGAGAAACGTCTCTGGAGGCACCTGGTAGGACAAGTAGGCTTTGATGGCATCATCACACGCATCAATATCTACTTAACCAAATTTCCTGGAATGTACTGCGCTGATCCCAGACCTGTGCTCAGGCCCCAATTCCAGTATGAGCTCAAAACTCACCTCTCACTTCATCATGCTCTTATCTTCTTTCCCTTGTTTTAAAAAAAAAAGATGAATCACTCCATAACCGAAATTTTTAGAAAAAGTGTGATAAACTGAGCACTTGAGAGCAGTGTTATTTGGGATAGAGATATTTAATTGTTGGGCGTGGGGCATAGAAAAAATAATGGGTTATTGCTTTTTAATGTTGTGATTTTGTGAGGGCAAATGAGCCAAGAACCAGGACAGAGTCTAGAAGCTTTTGGTTTCTTTTTAATTGTTGAAATTGGAGGGAGGAAAAAAAATCAGAGAATTTAGGACTGATGCTTTGTTGCGGGGAGAGGGAAGTGAAGGGAGTAGCAAGACACATCCACTTTGTTCCCTCCATTTTATAGGACAGACCATTTTTTTTAAAGCACGTGATTAGTTTTGGGGGGCCCTGAGTGTCTTCATTGGTTAGGCACCAGCTCTTGATTTCGGCTTAGGTCGTGATCCCTGGGATTGAACCCCGTGTCAGGTTCTGTGCTCAGCATGGGGTCTGCCTGAGCATTTTCTCTCTCTCCCTCTCACATGAGTAAATAAGCACATGCTCTCTTTTTCTCTCTCCCAAATGAATAAATAAATCTTTTTTAAAATAAGAGAAAAAAATTAATAAATGGTTAGTTTTGTACCAGTAAGCGCCATTTCTTCTTGGAAGCAGTGGTCTAGCTGTCTGACCAGACTGTGCCTAAGAATTCAGAATTTTTTGTTAAACTAACAAAACTCAGTTATTGGCTTCCTCTCTCAGGGTTAACCATTTCTCTGAACCCAAGTAAGAGGGAGGAAAATACTGTTTTTTAGAGGGCCGAGGACTGCGATATCAAGTATGGGTACCTATCTGATGGGAAAGCAGAGGGATTAAAAAGGAACAGGAAATGCTCTGTGCCGACTCTCCTGCGCTCTGTTGTGGCAATCGGGAGCACCATGGGATCATCACGAGCCCAGGATGGACTCCTGGCTGTTGAGCAACCCACGTCATAGTATCCACATCATCTTGGGATGACTCAGCACATTTATGACAGGGGTTCTCAGAGCACAAGCCTCAGACCTGCGGTATCAACTCAGCCCCCAGCAGAAGCCGTGGGGGCGGGGCTGTGCTGTGCGGAGCCCTCCAGGTGATCCTAAAGCACACTCAAGTTTGGGAACCGTTGCTTTGCCGTATCAGTTGTGAGCTTTGAGCCAGTGGAGGCTCTAGAGGCACAGACGATGAGTAACACCCGTGGCTGGCCTCGCCCGGAAGCCACGCATCACCACGTGCACTTGCGGCAGTCTTGGACGCTGCTGTCTCCAATGGGCTCGGGTGCATTGGCACAGAAACGGAACACATTATCTTTTTACAACATGAGTCACTTTCTTAGAAAGAGTCTTCAGTGGTGAAAGTGATGAAGCCTGTACCTTGATTTGGAGACACTAAGTGTCTATGTGGTTGTATGGGGCATGAGAGAAATCCTGATCTTTACAATTGAAAAGTTGGTGGTGGTGTTTGACCTAAGGGAAAAGGAATTTGCGTAATATGTTTTCCACCCTACCACCTCTTTCCGGTGCAAGCTTTGGAAAAATGATAGGCTAAGTAGCTATAAAGGCAGTGCTGCAAACTCAAAGACCCTAGTCCCCACTACTGGGTGGAAGGAAGGCCTGAAACTACGGGACGGACTACCTCTGTGTCAGGTGAAGTCTAGAACAGGACGAAACACTTTCTGCATGCAGCCAAAGCAAAACACGGCAGAATAGACGCCAGAGACTGTAGATATTTATAAATTAGATTCTTTTCTAATCTATGACAAGATAACTTTTCTATTTTTAACTAGATAAAATAACCTTCATCTCAGCATTGGGATTGTGTTATTCGACTATTATTATGTAATAACCCAAGAACACTGACTTAATACCAACACAAAAATAGGTAATGGTAATACCAATGTATTAATAAATTTATTACAGACACATTAATACATGGAAGTATATTATTCTGTAGATAAGAACTACATGAAAACAAACCCAACACATCAGTTTTTAAGTTTTTATGGATTCTCTGTCATCTAAATTAATGTTCTAGGATCTAAAAATGCATATGGAAAGGGATGATGAAAACATTAGTAAATGTAAGTTACATGTCAGCATGCCTGTCTTGAGACTGGTAACCATTGAATGTTTATGAAAATTGAGGTTTGGATGGTCCATTAACACAAAGATTCTGAGATGTTTAAAATAAATAATTATTTCCCACAAACGGTTGCTAAATGTATTTTATATCTGGGTTACATCATGATGGTTTAAAAAGAAAAACGTTCTCTAGTAATCTCGAAAACCGTGTCTCCGTATTTGCGCTAAGACCACCCTCTCGGAGTCTCCACCCTCTTGCAACAGGCTTTCAAGGATCTCTGCACAGCTCCTGCCCCTCCTCCTGCCCCGACTTCCTCTTCCTCACTTAACCGGGAGACCAGGCCCTTCACTACAACAGGAAGGCCTGGACAGATGCTCAGTGTGGTTCCTGGGAGCTTGCTAGAAATGTGGAATCCCAGGCCCCACCCCAGGCCTGCAGACTCAGACTCCGCATTTAACAGGGTGCGTAGGTGATGGGTGTGCAGGGGTGTGCAGGGCAGAGAGCCCAGAGCGACTTACCCTCCTTCTCCTGATTGGACACTCAGAGGGATGATTCAAGAGAGTCAGACATGGAGACCCGTCATAAAAGCATGGGCAGGGTTAACAGAAACATCCTGGAGTGCTGGAGGGCTCTTAGGGGACTGGAGGAGAGCACGATGACAGGAACAGCTCTTTGGGACAAAACCTCTGGCCTCAAGGAGAGCATAGCCACTGTCCAACGGTGGCCTGAAGGAAGCAGGGTTCACCCTGCAATCTCTCGCCAGCACGTCCCAGTGGCAACCCAAAGTCAGAGGGTGAGGGAGCCCAGGGAATGTCGACAGCTGGGGTGCAGGGCAGGCTGAGAAAGAGATCTGGAGAGATCAATGGAGAGATGCAGCTCAGAGAACATTGGCACCAGTCCCGTCTGCCTTTTGTCCCCTTTTACTTTTGCGACCTCCAGGAGACCATACGTGCCTCCCAAGTTTGTCAAGGTCACGGACACTGTGGTTCCCCACCCAGATCCCCTTCACTCTGCGGGTGAACCCATCCTCCAGCCACCCTGAAGGTTGGCTGCTAAAGCGCTCAAAAAATGCCTCCTCCAGAGGACGGCCTTCGGCCTGATGGGAGTTCCTCCCCCAGGAGTCAGACCCACCCTGGCATCCCCAGGGAAGCATGCAGCTCTGACTGGCACTGCCATACCTGAGGCCTGCCTCCCTGCCAGCAGCGGGGACAACCAAACCCTTGGTATCACTCATGCTTCTGAGCTTCCGTGGAATCAGGCTGAGACTGGTTTCCCTCACACCCCACCTGAAAGCATTCCATCCCACACAAGGCTTCCCAAGCTCTGGTTCCCTGCATCTCTGCTCCTCCTCAATCCATACTTCTCCACTGTATCCCACAGATTCTTGGGCCAGCTCAAACAAAACACCCGTGTCCCTCACCTCTCTTGACAGGCCACTGTTGGAATGCTCGAGGCCAGGCCTCCACTGCTGTCCTGGCTGGTCCCTCACTCTTTGCACCTGCTTCCTCTGCTCTTTGTCTCCTTTCTTGCCCTTTACTGACATGCACAGAGTGTGGAAGCTGTTAGCCGTTGTACCTGAAGGTGTTTTGGTCCTTGTTTAAAACAGTACATATTTTATCCTTCTCTGGTGTTGGCAGCAAGGGACCAGCTCTGCAGATCAAAAGCCAACCCCTGGATCCCAAATGTTTTTCCAAGTGGGATCCCGATCTCTAACAGAGAACCTTGCTGGGAAGAGGAATGAGCCCCTGTCTCCTGGAAAGGCCCTCAGCCCACGAGACTAGCAAGGATCCTCTCCAATGAGTAAGATCCCAGAGTCCCTGGGGCAAGTGTTCTGTTTTGTCAGACAACTGTCAGAAATCTCAGGGACCTGAGAAAACAGGGCTCATTACAACATGCATCCTTGAATGATGGGGTGTGGCTCGGTCCTACCCAATAGATAAACAGTGGATAATAAGCAAAATAAAACATTTAATGTGATTTTATTTTTTAAAAAAGTATTTGTTTTCAATGACTTTCCAAGTTCTCATTTCCTGTAAGAATGGGATTGTACATGCGGCCCTAGCCAAGGGCGGGAAGGGGAGAGGGACGCTGGCAACAGTGTTTGTAGTCTGGCCTCCTGATTGTCACCTTCAACTAGGCCTTCAACAGATCCATCCTGTATCTGTTGGCCTAATTGTTTATTCCTTCTTACTCTTTTCTTAGAAAATGAGGCACCATACTCTTACCTATCAGCTCCGAGAGAATAGTGAGCCAAACTGCTTGTTCAAGCAACAAGCCACCAAAGCCAGATATGTCGGGGGGAGGTACCGGGGGCAGCGAGAGGGGCTGTGGGGGTCTGGTTGCTCCCACACCTGCCCCAGGGGGAGAAGAGCCCTACTGTGGGGCACAAACCACAGCACTCCTCGCTGGCTTCAGGAACAGGGGTGGGTCAGTCAAGGCGAAGCTGGGCTGTCCCAGTGTCTTCCCTGTTGGGGACACGCTACTGGGACGGGATGGGTTGGGGAACAGCCCTGCCCCTGGCTGCAGGCACAGGAAGTCCTGTGCACAAAACCTTTGGCTGAGACCTATTTGAGGTTCCCTTTCCCTTTCCTCCGCCCCTTGTATATAGTTTAAACTCTCCACACTAGGTCATTCAGGCCTGCAGTCACCAGAAAAAAGGAGTCACTGTTCAGGCGATGGCAGCCGATCAAGCGTGCAGACAGCTGTGATGAAGGATTAGTTGTGGGTTCTTCTCCGGCCTTGCTGCAAACTGGGTTGCAGTTCCATGTGCAAACACTATTAAATGAGAATGTTTTCTCTGGCACTGGCCCACATTTCCCCCACAGTTTCAGTATTGAATTAAAAAAAAAAAAACTGAAGTAGCTTAGGTTTATAGCTCACATTTAAAACTTAAAAACATTATTTCCATAAATGCTGGCAGGAACTGGCTGCTGTTTATCCCACCAGCAGTCATAATAAACCCTTCCCCATTGACAATCTAACAGATCATTTTCTGTTCGCCACTGAGTTTGGTTCAATAAAACGTCTGTGCTCTTAAAACTCCCTTAGTCAGGACTCCTAAAAGCAGCATTTCCCAAGGCAGCCTTCGTGGCCAATGGACCGCATGGCTCTCTGTGGTCCCAGAGGTGCGCACAATGGGTTAGTGGCAGTCATCAGAAAGGCTCAGAACCCAGGAGTCCCAGCACACCGAACATGGTGGTGTGTGAGACATTTCAATTAGTCCCTTTTACATCCGCGTCACACAAGCCTCCCCCCTTGGCGCTCCACTGCTAGCATAGACTGAACATTAATGGGGCCACAGTGGGTGGCCTCTGCACCC